ATAAAGAAGCAACCCCCAGGGCTGTCCTGGGTAAATGAGCACATAGGTCAACCTAAGTATAAAGCACAATTAGACAAGAGGCTGTTTGCTAGTGAGGTACAACATTTGCGGGGGTTGGGACTGGAGGAGCCAAGGTATGAGGAACAGGAGGTGAAATGTGCCGCCACTACCACTAGGTGGGGCTGCACCATTAAAGAATGGAGGACATTTGCCCTGGCTGGTGTGGCTCAGTTGGTTGGAGCCTCCTCCCAGAAAGGTGGTAGGTTCCATTCAATTCCCTGGAGTGCGCAGGAGGCAACTGAATGGAGGCCATTTAATTACTGCAGGAAGTTCTTAAGATGCACATGCATTCAGGTCACTACTCAGTATGTTTTTGGTTTAGATGTATGGTATTGTAAATTCTGACCACTGGAATTAATGTAAAATTGTCGTCAGGGTAATAAATAGTCGAAATAATTCCAATGGGAAAATATATTCAAGTATATCAGTATTGGTATCTAGTATTAATTTACTCTCAATTGTTGCCTACTGCACTTGAGGCAGTCAAGAGGCGAAAACACACTCCTTGCCCTTAAGGTGCTATTCTAGCCCAACCGGTGTGGCTCAGTGGTTGAGCGTGGACCCATGAACCAGGAGGTCACGGTTGGATTCCAGGTCGAGGGCACATGCCAGAGATGCTGGCTTCATTCCCAGTGTGGGGCGTGCAGGAGGCTGCCCGTGGATGATTCTCTCTCATCATTGTTTCTCTCTCTCTTCAGAGTATTTCAGGTCTGTATTGGCTACATAATTTGCAAGGGCAAATACATACCTATAATAATAGAAGCGTAATATGCTAATTAGACTGCACATCCTTCTGGACGACCTTCCAGATGAAGCTGAGACTGGAAGGGAAGCCTGGGTCCGGGTACCTGTTGGGTGCCTGCCCAAGCCCAGGGGAAGGAAGGCCTACTCTGGCACCAATTTCGTGCATGGGGCCTCTAGTGTTTAATAAAATTCTTGCACTGGATGTGCTCAACAAATCATCTGTCAAAAATGGCATAAGGTCAAATGATTTCCAAATGTACAAGATGGTTTAGCTATCTGGGTGAACCAGTCTTTTGACACCCAGCCTTTCCATGGGCCTCCAGACGTGGGTAATTAAATTAGAAAAGCAAGCAGCAGGGTGGCGGGGGTGGGAGTGGGGGGTATCTTTTAAAAAAATTTTTTTAACGTCCCAAGTGTCTACAAAGCTTCCGGTTTTGTTAAGATTCTAGGCGAAGATTAACTTTGCACCCAAAAATAGAGGCGTAGCTGGAACGCCCGGAGTAAAATAAACAAAAACAAGTTTACCAACAGGCACTGGTGACAGAGCCCACTTGGACCCTCCCCGCAGCCGCCGCGTGCGCTTGTCTTTATCGTCCCAAGTGTCTACAAAGCTCCCGGTTTTGTTAAGATTCCAGGCCAAGATTAACTTTGCACCCTAAAATAGAGGCGTGGCTGGAACGCCCGGAGTAAAATACACAAAAACTAGTTTACCAACAGGCACCGGTGACAGAGCCCACCTGGACCCTCCCCGCAGCCGCCGCGTGCGCTTGTCCGCACAGCTGGAAACAATAAAGTTGAGCTTGTTCAAAGGGGTCCTTGTCATCCAGGGCCCGTTGGACGAGCCTGCAAAATAAGGCTCCGAGAAACTCCCTGATGGTTTTCCATCCTGTTCGTTGTTCTCGGTAGTCTTTCCCTCGCCCCGCGGGACACACGTGCTGCAGGGAGCGGCGCGCGCCAGGCCGGGTGGGGGGC